TTATAATAATTAATTATTATATAACTAATCTTTTAATAAAAATTAATAATATTATTATTAAAGAGATCTTAAGTTTATATTTCTTTCTTTATTATTATAAAATTATAAGCAAAGACCTATTATATATTAATAAATTATAATTAATATAATAAGTTAATCTTATAATCTTTAATTACTAAGTATGGCTTTATAGTATTATATAAAATATATTTATTAGGGTAAAGGAGGGGGAATAAAGGGGGAAAAAGGCAAATTAAGAAAAGAAGGTTTTAGTATTTAGGGAAAAACTATAAATATTAATAGGCTAAGGCTAGCTTTATAGGTTAATAATAAATTAGATTAGATTATAAGATAATATAATAGGAGAAATATAAGTTAAGGATAAATATAATTAAATAATACTTAGGGAGTTATTAATATATAAATATTTAAACTTAAGGGTAGGTATTAGGTATTATAATAATAAAGTTAATTAAAGATAATTATATTTAAGCCTATTAATAAATAAAATAATAATAAGAAGATAATTAATAATATATAAATATTTAAACCTAGGGGTAGGTATAAACTTTATAAAATACTAATAATTATATTAGATACTAAGATAATAAATAGGCTTTAAATATTTATAATTTTACCTATAGCCCTATTAAATCTAGCTAATTTCCCCTTAATAATAAGGACTATAATTGTTCAGTTATGTATAAGGTTGTTAACAGAGCCGCCGCCCATAACTTCATCCCTTTCAAAGTAGATGATCATGATTTTCACATCAATGTATTGTCCCCAACAACACTGGAGCTATTCCAGCCTTTTATACCTATATGCCTCGTACAGTTATGGGTCTATTACAGCGATAGCTGGGTCTATCATCTTATGCAAAAAAGGTGTTACTGACAGCCACTACTCGGCCGTGGACCCCAGAGTCAAGTAGTGTGCCGCTTCTCAGGGTATTTATCTCTCGTTGCCAATATAACAACGATTCTCCATGACTTTCCAGGATACTCTCAAGCGCTGCATCGGTCAAGTGCAAACCAATGGCCGGGGACACTCCAGGTGCCATAATGATACCCGCTGCCATGCTGACTGGGGAAACATTGGTTGATGATGCTCTCAAATGCATCGTAGCACATCTGCTTATCCATCTTCGACCCTTGGTACTCAAAATGACAATCCCAAGCATTGAGGCCATTTTCACAAGTTTTCTTCCAGCTTCCCTGTCCCGCGAATCTGTTGCAAAAGGCTTCGCGATCTTTGTAGTTTCCCTTCCTGTCGGTGCAAGGTCCAACAGCGCCTCCGCCTCTTCCCCATCCGCCGCATTCCGCAGCTTCGGTTGAGTAGAGGTTTGCAGCCAAGCTCAGGGCGCTGAGAAAAAAGTTTCCGGCTCTCATGGTGATTGACTTGAAGTGGCTGTTGAACGCGATAGCATGTTAGTCGTGGATAAATCTGGAAGTTATAGGATTAGTTACCTGAAATACTTGAAAAGAGACAGTACCTGCGGCTTGTAGGTTCGCAGTGATGCTTAAGAATGTACTTCCTGAAGTACTGCTGTAAAGGTTTTATACTAATTTTATTGTACTATTATTGCGGTCTGAATGGTCTCCGAGGCGTTGCCGTTAACCGATATAAGCGGTCTTGGCAGCTGTCACTGAATCCTTCCTCGTATTTATGGAGTCGTAGAGTATCTCAAGCTGCTGGCTTGGGTAAAGTCAATCTTGGCATTAGTACTAAGAAGTACTCTGTGGGAAGAGACCCCACAAATGTGCGAGAGCCTTAACATGGTTGATTATTCGTAATGCCTATAAATTGTTTATAATAATTATTAAGAGATTTGTAGCCACTAGCGTACTTCCAGACTTGATATATTTTTAAGATAAAAGAGTGTTTTATGGGCCCATAATCGAACAATACTACCAGACCATATCTTCCGCTCTCTACATTCCTCGATGCAAGGTCAGGACGTTACGGCGGTCGCTCCATGCAAAGATAATCATCAGTGCTATTATGTCTTTGCAGGCTTGTGTTAATCGGTATCCTAGTGGGTAGACCCATCCCTATGATGTTACTAATATCACCGAGATCGTAATATAACATAGTTTAATAAAGAATACTTCAAGGCCATGTTAGCTTGCGCGAGGTTGGAATCATAGTTATCAACACGTTTAACGATTGGGTTACCAGGACACATTCAGAAACCATCAAGTATTGTTAGAAATAGTATATTGCCAAGAAATGCTGCATGTGCCAAGCCATCCCGCATAAGTTCAAGACTACAGTGAAGCAGTTTCTCCGTGAAACCCGGCGGCGGCAAGTATTTCTCATATTCCCTGCAATGAACCACCATGTTCTAAGCTGAAAGCCAGATTTGTGGCTTGAGAACAAGTCTTATTGCGTATGCTAGTCACTCAGGTCATAGTCATACTTACCAGGGATAAAGGTAGGCTCGCCAGCTGTACTAACCTCGCCCCATTTCAATCTAATAGATGCCAACCACGTTGTTAACATGACTATAATATTGTCCTGGTAACGTACCTCTGCCAACCGAGTTACAAATACCACGCACCGTGTGTTACAAAAGTTGCCCAATAATAAGGGTGATCCAAGCGCAAGCCTGCTTTCTTTCTTCCCTGGAGTCGTCTCACCGCCTTCTGGAACCAGAGTGCCAGATTCCATGGCGACGCGATGGTGTCCCTTTGGCGCCGCACAGCCTGGAAGAAATACAGGGTAAATGCTCGCCCGTCCTCGCTGCGAACCGGCCATATGGTACCTATGGCTGTTGCACAGCCCGCATATTGCAACGCCGAGAGCCGCCGTTGCGGCTCGTCCCCTGTGCCATAGTTCTGCACGCCAGAGGAGCATGCGACGATGGAAGCGAGTGACAGATTGAGGTTAAGGGAAAAGGCGTTGCGAACCGTGAAGGCATCCTTGTGTGGCCCCAACGTTGGCCGGTAGGGGGATGTTGAAGGCTATGTGTGATGAACCTCTTGCACACCGGAACTTGTCTCTGATGTTTTTCCATCGCTTAGAACGAGAGACTGGTAGATGGTGTTGGGATGGGTCGCTGTGTGTCCATGAAAATGAAGAATGTCGACGTCCTTCACCACTGTCGTCAGGTTTTCCCTGTTGGCATTGCATCGAAGCCTGGGCTCCGAGCCAAAGTCAGACGCCAGCTTTCTAATGCATTTATATGCCTCCTCGCGTTGCGTTATCTTGACCTTGTCCTCGATATGATCTTCGTAAGCTGAGAAGAAGGCGGTTCTTAATCCCCCAGCTCTCTCGTGTAGTTTCGAGTTGGCTCTCTCACAACATTGCCTGAGTAGTGATACGTTCGCTGTATATAACACGAGGTTCCTTCAGATCACAGGCACGCCTTCTATCTTTAACGCGTGCAAGGGGATGGCATGCATGGTTCTCGTCGGAAAAAAGACGAGCAGATCGCCCTCATGTGTACACTGTGAAAGTCTGGAAACAAGGCCGTTGAGCTTGTCAAGTGTTCCTTCTTCGAGCAGCCTCTCCGATGACACCAGCGGCGTGTGCGAGGATAGGTAACTCTGCTTCGACACACGCACGTGAGTTAATGCCATGTCGAGCACTGACATCTGCGGCTCGAGCCTCGCATCCAGTGTGACCATTACAATCTTTTCACCTATAATAACCCAGTCGACTAATACAACTTTGGAGCCGGGCGAAATATCCCGATCTTTTTCATTTCCAAAAAGCCATTGGAGATCCTGCAGATCGGTCTTGCCCGCTCTCGAGGCAAGTAGACGGCCGAGGCGCTGATGTTCCTTCATCATCGAGCGAACGCGTTCCAGTTCCATACTCGTCGAAATCTTGTCTATGGAAACTACCGATTCGAGTTTTCGCGCGAGCCTCGCTTCTTCCCCCAACAGCTTTACGATTTGGTCATCGACGACAAAATTAGGAGGTCGCTGCCGGTCTACTGATCAAGTTGCGAACCCACCAAGTCGGACAATGCCCTTGCTTTCGCTCTCTGGGTCCGTCGCCACATCTTCTCGGCATCACCTAGTGCGAATGTGAGTGCTTGAGCATGATTAAAGATATCATCATGGGTGGAAGAAGCGACAAGCAGCTGCTTTTTGCGCAATGACTCCAAACCCGACGACGAACAAAGGTCCCGTCGCAATCGTTCCGAGATGGACTCCCCGATCTCGAGGTACCGCAAAGCCTCAGCATAGAGCATATTCCTTTCTTGTCCGTCTTGATTCTGGCCGAGAGACTTAAGCGCTTGTGAGACATGAAGAATAAACTCCAGGGGAACGCTGTAAGGTCCCAATTCTCTATAGGCTGCCAGCGCGGCTGCAGCCCGGTCTACTACTGCTAGGACCTGGGAGTGGTTGTCCTCTGGACGCAGAGATGAACCAAATGAAAGAAAGAAACTTGGGAAGATTAGGTGTTGGCATTTCGAAATCCGTCTGAGGCCTTTTTCATCCATGCACTTCACCAGACGTTGTCTCAGAGGCTTCTCGGCACTCCTAAATTTCCCCCGTGCCATGAACGGCTCGGCCTGTCTAATGGAATCCTCATTATGATACCTTTCTCCGATTCGCTCCGATTCCCCCATCCAATAGTTTTGGAGTTCCTTGTGGTGGTCACCCTGATCCGCTCTGGCTAAGCATCCCTCTAGACTGACGATGGTTTAGACTTTCTTGAGTTGGCATTGCACATCATTGCGCTTCTCATCAAGTCGTAGCGACTCCTTCAGTATCTGGATGGCCGCCTCATGATTAGGTCCAGGCATTTCCGATGTCATAGCCGTTGCGAGTGCCAACTTCGCATCAGATAACATGTCCAGTAGCCGCCATTTCTCAAACATTTCCACTGCCATCTTGACGTATTTGAGGCTTCTATCCTGGTCTCCCAGCGAGCCATACGCCTGTCTGAGCTGCACAAATAGCTGACTAGTAGTCTTTGGGGTTTCCTCCGACGCATCATCCACGGACTTTTGCAAATATTCGAATGTCTTTCCAAAGTGCTCTTGTCGTAGTATTGCTGCGGGAGATAATTCCACGCTGAGTCGTAACATCGCATATCTGTTGGACGTCTGGTCCAGAACTCTCTCGAGATGACTGAATGTGTCAACCATGTCATCCCATGGGTCATGCTTGGGTCTGAAGACCTTCATGAACTTTGGGCCAGTATAGTCCAGATTGCGATAGCGATCTACGTGCTGGCATCATACATGTCCTGGGCTTGTGTTGCCCCCGTCATTGTTCCTATAGGTCAGCAACTCTCTGAGACATATGTGACTGTTTCTCCGGCTAATAATCTGACAGTATGCGTGGCTGTGACTGTGCCTGTCACACAGAGAATCGGTTCCGCGCAGGGGACCTGGAATGCCGCTGTTGAATGGCGTGTCAATGTGACTTAAGCTGTCCTTAGTAATCTGAAAGAAGTCCGCATCTTGGGCATTGGTGGTTATACCAGCAGCCTTCTGCAACGTCTACGAGTTGAAGAGATTACTCCATCTACTCACTTTCGCCGACTCATAGCCGCAATTATTGTTTTGTCCCAGGGAACAATTGTGCTAGGACCCTTCGTCACCTTCGCGCTTTACGCAATCATTCTACGAATCAATGACGATCCGAATTTCACAGCCTCCAAAGCCTTCACTTCATTGAGCCTGATCAATCTCATTGCAGCTCCAATTTTGGTACTGATCCAGAGTCTCCCCAGCTTCGCAGCTGGTCTCTCTTCTTTATCGCGTATCGAGAGCTTTGTCTCTTCAACGACTTCATCAGATGGAAGGAAGTTGCAAGATGAAAAGTCTTCTTTGAACGCAAGATGCCTCTATCTGAGGGGCCCTGAAGCAGATCATTCAATCGAAGATCAGGAACTCAGCGAACTTGAGCCATCTATTTCATCTTACTACACGAGTCAGAGAACTCTTGAAAACAGTATCATAGTCAGGCAAGCGAAATTTGGATGGAAAGCTGACAGCGATGTCATCAATTCGTGCAACTTTGAGATCCAGGACGGTGCCTTGACAGTCATAATGGGTCCTGTCGGTTGCGGCAAGAGCACATTGCTATATGGTCACCTCAACGCCATTCGTTATAATAGTGGTCAAGTTTGGGTAAAGCACCGTAATGTATCACTTTGCGAACAGACACCATGGCTAGTCAGTGGATCTATTCGTCACAACATCACTTGTGGCACAGCTTTTGACCAGCATTGGTATGACGAAATTCTCGACGCATGTGCTTTGGTGTAGGATCTTGATCATCTCTCGGGCAGAGACATGCACGAGGTTGGCAATAAGGGTAGCAGTCTCAGTGGAGGACAGAGACAGCGTATAGTATGTGCCCCCAAACTGACTAGTTTGTGGGAGCTGCTAATCAATCCATCTAGGCTCTCGCTCGCGCTGTTTATGCTCAGAACCCTATTTTGTTTCTAGTCAATCCTCTCAGTGGTGTAGATCATACAACATCGAAGCATATCGTTCAGGCCCTGTTCCGTGATGGAGGTCTACTCCGCAGTGGCAATATCACTGTGTTAATCACCACCGATTCTCGTAAGTTTAACAGCTCCCCACTTCATCGAATTGCTCATTGCTGACCCAACAGGTGAGGTAATCGCTCATGGTGCCATCGTCCGAATAAAGGATTGTTCCCGAGATACGCCTGTTGCTAATGGTTGTGGCCATGAGGTTCAGGCAGGGTATGAGGGCGGTCACAGTATTGTTTTCAAAGATGTTACTGTCGCCTATGCACAGCCAAAACCTTCTTCTGAAGACACTGAGGACAGATTGGAAGAAACAGGAGCTCTGAATTAAGGCCATCTAGCACTGGACTCTATTAACCTCTCGATCCGACCGGGAACCAAGATGGCCATTACTGGACGCTCAGGCAGCGGTAAATCTACGCTGGTCTCCAGACTTTTCCGTATTCTGCCGTTATCCTGTGGAAAGATATCCATCGGAGACGTGGATATTTCGCAGGTTGATCAGCAAGTTATCCATGATCGCCTCAATGCGATCACGCAAAGCAGCTTCTTTATTTCAGAGGTGTTTTTGAAAGAAAACCTTGAGCCATCAGGACCACATGATGAAAACGATGCAGGTCCTACAATGCCAATGACCGAAGTCATGAGGGAGGTTTCAGTTAGCCTGCAACTTTGGACGTTAGTAGAGGAGCGTGGTGGACTGGAAAAAACTTTTTCCCAGGGCTCATGGTCTTCTGGTCAGTTACAGCTACTCGGCGTGGCTCGCGCTATCGTCAAGAAAAGGCGGACCCAGTATTATCCAGACTCAACCTGGAAGATACTGGTTCTCGACGAGATAACAAGCAGGTAAGCTTGCACTCAACCTATTCATATGATGAACGCTGACATCTGTTTAGTCATGACGAAGCATCGGCTCGAATGGTACGTGATCGTATCAAGGTCGAGTTTGAAGACTACACCATCTTGTCCATCGTGCACAAGTTCGATGGCGTCATCGAGGATATGGACAAGATCATCATCATGGATTCAGGAAAAGTCATCCGACGTGGGTCGCCGCGGGAGCTTTTACAGGCAATGTAGATCCAGGCAGCTGCTCTATAGTGAACTGGAGTTCTTAGTCAAAGTCCACTTAGGCTATGAGTCTTCAGGGTTTAGTATATGCCCGGAATTTGTTTTGAGAATGCTATTTAGTGCTGACTATGGAAATGGGTCTTATCTTACTGTTGCTATTCTCTTGTCACCTCTCGAGGCAATTTAAGGAATCTCAGAGTAGTGTCTTTTTATTTATAAACTCTACTCAATGCGCTTGCCTGAAGTCTAGGCCTAAAATTGACACCTCTTCTTTAATGCCCTCTAATAGCTATAATAACTGGCTCAATGGATACTATTTTGGCATTAATTCTCGTGCCGGGACCCTGCCTCATGGCTATTGTCTGCTTTATACTCTTGCATCCTTCTTAGGCCACTTGGAGTTCGAAGACTCGAACCTTCAGAGCTTTCAGGAATAGTCGAGGGCGTCCAACGAGGGCTTGAATGACCAGTAGATACTCGACTGTTGCCTTGATTTCGGTGCATGTCTTGTCTATATCTGTCCAAATTACTTTCTCGATATGTCGCTTTTGTTGTCAAATCTCTCGGATCAGGGCTCGGTGGGTTAGTTTCCAAGTGCTGACGTTGACTTTCTGCGATACATCTATTACGGTGGGGAGCGGCGGCGAAATTCTCTCCAGGTCTCGCTCGGCTTTGATCTGTATCATCATCATTACCTTGATCCAAATCTATGAGGCCTGGATCAGCAAGCTGCCTGAACCTCTCCTTGACAGTAGAGAGATCCTGTATGAAACCTTCATCATAGTGTATCATGTCGAGCTCAACACCAACCTTATAAAGCTGCGAGAGGTCTGAAAACCGTTTGTTGGCTTTTGTGGTGAGCTTCTCTTGGTAAGAAGACGATGAAGGTTGTTGTTTGGAGCTACAATTGCTCCATGTCCTAGCTCTATGCGTTGGCAGGCCGTGATTCTCATGGTGGTTGGAGCATTGGAACCCAGATCCTGGTCCAGTCGTCGTTTGTGGACAGCCAGGATCCTCAGACAATAGTCTTGCCAATGAGAGAACATTGCCTGCTCTTCTTCCGGCATGGCCTGTTTCATCCTGAGAGCTCAAATCTTGCAGCTCTCTGGTGCAGTCTGTGGCAGGGCCACCACGGTTCGTATTTGAAAAGGCTTGAGAGCTAGACAGTGTTCTTCTGGGCAAATGTCTCTGAGGTGGAACTTGTGCACCTATAACGCCATTCTGGTCCGCCGTAGCGCGACACTTTTGCTTTTGTGCTTGACTGTTCGCCGCTAGGTGCACGCCATTCTGCAGAACATTGTTGTCTGAGGTTGAAGCCAAGGCGCCTGAATTATGGTTGAACTAAACTGGCCCTGCTCTTGGTAGGTTACAAGATCTTAGTTGCACTGCATTATTTCAGTGAACTTATCCATGTCATCAAAGCACTCTGCAATATCCCAATCGTCTTGACAGTCCTGAAGTAACTCGTCTGTGATGTTCATACACGATTCCAGGGTAATCTCCTCGTGGCTTAGTAAGGCTGGAATATTCCTTTTGGAGACCGGCTCTTGATGAACTAACGTATGTTCTTGACAAGGGCGATCCTCGGGATCATCTTCAACGTCAATTCGACGTTTCAACTTATCGCCTGAATATTATTTCAAGTTTTAGTACACATGATGAAATACGTTACAATAAAACTTACGGTATCTTCTCTGTGCTACTCGATTTTGTAATTTCCTCCAATGCTCATAGCTGAATGACTCAGAGGGCTGATCACTGTTGGTATTGCGCATCTGCGGCTGACTCGGTGGATCGGGTTCTGAAGCACCCATATTTTGTATATGCATTTGAGAAAACATTACATAAACAGAGATAACAAAATTTGCCTACAAGGAGAAACCTGAGTAGCGAAAATAGCTCTTATGTCTTTACAACAACTCCGAAATATGTAATTCATTACGAGGGGTACCGGAACCTCGCGAAGTGCTCTATTAATGTTAAGCACAATGCTAGCTGGCTGTTGGTGGACCGCTAAACGCACGACTTACACTGAGGTGATTCTGACTTGCATCATTGTCGGTTGGGCCGGTTGGACCTCTGTAATACGTTCAGATGTGGAATCACATGCGAACCCTACCACAATAGACTTTCTCGGTGCATGGGGTTTCCGGTCGGAAACTTCCACTACCGGCCAAAACCTCTCCGTGTATACACGGAACGGGGCGATATGCAGACGTAGGATACTGCAAACCTTATTTCAATAAGATCACATGATCCTGGATGTGTCTATAGTGGGAACCAGGCAACAGACATTAAAGCCTACGTAATGGCACAAGGCATACTCAAGAGCGAAAAGCAGGTCGACCCTACCGATTCCTCGTACCTCTCCGGAAGGGTTGTTTCGGAGCAGCTATTGCGTTCCTTGCTAGTAGTTAATAATGCTTGGCATCAGATTGACCAAGCGAGGGGAATGAAGATGCGACCGACAATGACCTTCTCTTATATCTCCACAGATACTAGATAATAATTTGGGACACCGACAATTTATCATAGAAGAGTTAGAAGAGGATAGGTAATAATAAGCTGGAGTGTTTATTATATTATTTGCTAATAACTCGCCTATGTAACGCAGCGATTTCGAGCTTATGGTATGTCTCGTTGTGCTGGTAGATCCTGGTCAGGGGTATAAGCCAATAAGAGATGTAGAATATCATCTTTCAGTGAAATTGGGACAGACAATAAAGATGTAGCATGCTTATTGTGTATGTTAACTGTTTATATTAAGTTATACCCAAACTAGTACTGATGATTCTTTATCTTTTACACAAGCCCTTTGGGCTTGAGGTCTTGCAAGAATCGCATTTAAAGATGTTACTCTTGCTGGTCGTGTTGACGAAGACATCTAAGTCGTTATCTCGGAAAGTATTTCGGAGGAAGATGTTATCCAAAGCGATAAACTTGCGTTTAAGGGTCACGCAACTCAAGCCGAATAGGGGACTCGTTGGACTGCATTCATCGTCAATGACCACCAGCCCTACAGATGCACCCTTATTCTTTTGTCCCTCAACAAGGTTATCGCTAACTTTAGAACCGGCCGCACCGTCAATGGTAATTCCCCAAGCGATCTGGCAGGCAGGGTTAATCGGACCGACATGATTGTGACGGACTTTGGCGCCAGTAACACCTGGATCGACAAAGATTCCAAAGCAGGACTGCGAGACCATATTGTGGTGTACATCTGCCCCATTTGTCTGGACACAGATACCGACGCCGTAGTCAGTGACCATGTTCTTCTCCACATGGACATCAGAGAAATTATCCATGCAGATACCAATCCCATTGACTCCTAGGCCCGTGTGTAAGACCCTGTTGCCCTCGACTGCCGTTTTGGTCGAGCCAGCCGTGAGAGTACCATACTTGGCACCGTCAGCCAGTATGTTCTTGCTGACACGGGTATTCATGGCACCAAGGACAGCAATGTTGATACCAGAGAACTTGCGGACCTCGAAGCCGATGATGGAAACGTCTTTAACAGGCCTCTTTACTGACAGAACCTTTCGGTGCTCGATAACGAACTTGTCCAGCTCGATGCCCTTTCCTTGCACACAGATGCCAGCCTCCGTCCTGGGGCCACTGAGGCCCGAGCACATATTGTTAGCAATCTTCTTGGGAGGAACCAGGACAGCGCCCTTGCCGATGAGCTTGATGCCGTCTTTAGATATGGTAAGCTGCTCGGCGTAGGTACCCGCGGCAACGACAATCGTATCGCCGCGAGAGGCCTTGTTGATAGCTTTCTGGATACTCTCGTCGTGGCGGACGTAGATAGTGTGGCGATGGGCGTATTGCCTGCTATTTCCGTATTCGGGGGTATAGTCGTCCTTAAAGTTACAGCAGTGCTTATCTTTATAATAGCACTTGGGTTTGTCCCGGGCTGCAGAAGTTAGTAGGATAGCTTAAACGGTTAAAAGAAATACAGACCTCCTAGCCCTTCTTCATCAGAGAGAGGTGAAGCGGCAACGCTGCCGAGGAAAAAGATGCCTGTAAGGGCAGATGTAATCTTCATAATTGTCGGTTAATGGGTAGAAGCGAGTATGTGTTTGCAACGGGGACCAGATGCGGTGTAAGGTCCAGAAGGAGATTATATAATTACGACGTCTTCGGCTACCTATTAAAGTCAACCAGCCTGCAGGGAGACTTAAGTACCCGAGACTCAACTTACCAATGCAAGGGAAAGCCGCTAATTTCCCCAAACCAGGAACCTGAGGCCCATCGTTATAGATAAATTGAAGCCCTAGCGTCATAGCCTGTCCTAACGACTTGGATGTGGTGTGCGGGTGAGGGTAGTCAAGGGCGAGCAACAAGTCATTATGAATTCATATTGACGAAGAAGGCGGAGAGAAATCGGGGGTAATGTCAAATAGACGGCCCTATGACTAGCTTTGAAAAACACAAAGTATGGAGGAAACAGTCCGGATTTAGTTAACCAATCATGGCCTCCAATTCCTACTGTCTCCTCAGCTACCGATCATTAAGCTAAGCTCTCTTAACTAGCCCCTAACTCAGTCCTCCGCATAGCCTAACCATCCTACTATTATTTCAGACGCTTTAAGTTTAGTCTAGTATATTTATAAAAGTTAATATGCCGTAAGTAGCTTTTATAATAATAAAAGGATATGCTAAGAGATAGAAGAAGCAGGGCCTTGGCCTCTTATCATATATTCCTGATATTTATAATATTATAAGGTTTCTCCAGCCTTAACTGCTGCCTTGCGTTCCATTATACCAAGATGGAAAGAATTGGATGATATGAGACATCCGGAACCTCGAGTCTGGCATATTAATGTGATAAAATGCCCAAAGCGTTGGTATTGATCTAGACTTTGCGGAATGACGTCCGATAGTTTCTTGAGATCAAGTATGCGTAAATCCGAGGGTAATAAGTCATGAAAACTCTGCAAGTCCTTTAGTGGACCGGCCCAATCTTCACGTGATTGGGAATAAACGTTTGCTTCGTAGGGAAGTATATCAGCAATGCGAAGCCCTGGAGTAGTCAAAGCATAGTGGTGAAGAACGTAAAGATAGAATATCTTTTCAGTCCGTCTGAAGTAAGACTGTGATAGCTGTAGCTTGGCTAGAGATGGTTCGGTAAGGGGCGAAGTAAGGTCATTGAAATATGTAGAAAGATTTGCGCAAGAATCGAGGACCAATGTTGAAAAGGTGGACAGTTGAGAAAGTGGAATGCGTGAGTTATTTCTAGTTCCTAAAGTTTGTCATACTGAATCATACTAAAATCCCCGTGCATTCAATATCTTCTCCTCCATGTGTCCTCCTAGTGGATAAGGAAGCATAGGGATATCACCTGCTGCGCGAAAGGAAGTGTGGAAGAAAGCTGCATTTCCAGGGGGGTTCCAGTTTGGCACCCAGGAGGGCAACCCAATCACTGTTGGGTCAGACTTCTCGGTGAGCTTAACGTCAGCCAGAAAACGGAGACTGTTGCATTTGAAAATGAGCAGCCAGGCGATGCAGGTGTACTTTTCTGCAAGACTTTCCTCATAGCTCCAAACCTCACTGTCGCCCTCATAGTTGATAATAAGGGCAAGTCTAGCGTGAACTCTGTTAGTGCTCCTAGCAAGTATATGGGGCTCGCGCTGAGCGCAGGACCCATCAAGCTGCCATTCAGCTGGTGGCTTTCGAAGTGAATAATCTGGTACGAGACTGTGTGGTTCCACTGGAACCTTGCATTCCAACATCTTTCTCTAACCAAGTAAATTTCGTGAATAGAATTCGCGGATAGATACTTGCTTCCCCAAGATTGCCCAGTCGGAGAGGGGGTCGAGAGGCCCCCGGTCAAGAGACGACTTTTGGAAGACCAAGTGTTGGAATTTCATCAGGCTATTACCAGGAATGTTCACTCTGTGACGGTGAAATTCTAGTCTTTTTGCGAAAAGCAGCTCTTGCTGTATCCAGAGCTTATCCCAGTAGGGGCTTTGGAATAACGGGATAAGAGGCTCCTAGGATACTGGATAGTCTCCGAGATCATCCATTGTGGAGCGGGAAGAAAGGGAAAGTAGCTTTCGGACAGCACCATTATCCGGAGATAGGTTGATGTCGATTCACACTCTGACAGTTCCGGCCTTAGAGTAGATCCCTTTCATCAAAGCAACCTGACGACTGCGTTCATTGTTATCGTTTTGATTTATACATACTGCATCAACCCATAAACGCCGTACTCCGTCTTGAAATCGCAAATGGCGAAGGGCCGTCTGGAGTGACGCAGTTGCTGGGAACGTTTTGTCGTCGTCGACAGTGATAGGTTGAGTGACAGATGGATTCCCCCACATGTATGACAGCGTCATATTGAAGATCTTGTTCGATTGGCTCTACAGTCAATTTGCATCGAATGGGATCTTTGAAAAAGTCCCGGCAGAAGTGAGAGAATGCGAACATTCCTCGTAAGCTGCATATCATATTTCTTAGTAGAAACTTCTCCGAGGGGTTCATACTGGTGCTTCTCAGTGTATTGATTCATATTGGGCAACGGCAGTTGAGAAAGGACTCGAGCAGTTGTTAGGAAAAGTTATGTTTTTCACGATAAGTAACTTACCATGGATTTTAAGAGTTTAAAGCCTGGTTTATAGTCCTAAACAGAGCAATAGCTAAGGAACCTGATGAGATGACTGCAGTGCGACCCATCAAGATGATTGGTACCAAGCCATGCCACGTTCCAACAATACCCACTAATCATTCATCTGTGTACTTGTTTATCCGTCACCGGCTTTTGTTTTTTTTATTTCTCTTCCAAGAACTCTACTACTCATGATGTAGGGATTAAATGAAGCTATCTGGCCTGCAGAAATTACTCTTGTGAATTTCACGGTCATTAAACCAGTCTAACGAATCAGACTTTGGTGGTTATGCACCATCCTGATCAGGATCAAAGATCTGCCCAACAAACGGGTATATGATGGCATCGAAAATACTACAGTTTCTGGGAAATCCACATTCTCACTTCTATATGACAATAGTGTTTGCGAGACCAAATCGAACATTCTCTGGTAGGCAACTGCGATGGTAATTCCTTTAATTACAAATTGCACAAACCGGGCATATAAACACGTCGCCATATCTCAGATATGCTCCCGAATACTCATCCGGGACCTGGAACGGCGAAATCTTATTCTTTTATATTCTTTATATTATTTATAATACTAAAAGTCGAGTTATAGAGTCTCTGGTTCTTCTATAATGTCTGTGTTGGTCATATCATAGTGGAGACATATTAACACACCATCCGTTGCAGGCTTAGGGAAAGCTGGGATTGAAGTGGGGAAGTGCAACGGTAATGCCAAATAATAGGAGCTGCTTATTGTTCTGGTTTATTTCCCCGTCGAACTACCCTTGTTCTGCATCGAGGCGAGGTATAGACTGAGCCTGTCAGATCGATCATCCAACTGTAAGTGTCGGATAAACTGTCACCCTTGGTTGTTTGGTCGATATCCTTGCAACGCATCGGTTGAGACGAGAGAGAACAATGTAGTCGTTCGAAAGTCTGATTGGCCATCGTTCACGTGGCAAAAATCTCGCTGCGGTATTAAAATCTGGTTGCCTCGATATTTCTCTCGTGACGCATTACTCAAAGACGAGAGAGTCTAATCGACAAAATGGCAGCAAACGATGATGGACCTATCGTGGCACCCGACGAAGATGTTAGATCCCTTATTTTGTTCATGTGCCTCGACTGATATCTGATATAGGTCCAAGACGACCGCGACTCATCAATTGGAGATGTAAGATCTATCTCTGGTTGTTATGTAGCGGGGAGAGAATGAGCTAACAAATAGTGGCAGGATGCGACATCATCGACAGCAAGTTTGAACAGCTCAATCCTCGACTTTCGTCACGAAAACGGAAGAACATATCATGCATACAAGGATGGAAGTCAGTTACCGTCAACGACTCTTTTTCCTACCTCGAAGTCCAATGGCTAACACTACCTACACAAAGAATATCATCTTCCCAATGATGAGCGTGAAAATGACAGGCTAGGTACAGTTCCGGTTGTGATATAGCGGCAACGTATATACTAAAGATGTCCAGACTTGCAGCATAATTTATTCCTCCTCACTTTTGATAACAAACTTGGTCTTTCACCTCCAAACCTTCCTGATTCCAAGGTCAAGCGCGTCTTGGACTTGGGAACTGGAACGGGAATATGGGCAATAGACTTTGGTGATGATCATCCCGAAGCCGAGGTAGGATCAGTAACCAAGGATCAAAAACTCGAAGCGAAGATTAGATGCTGATAGTTTTAGGTTACCGGCGTCGATCTATCTCCTATCCAGCCCAGTTTCTCAGCTTTGAATAACTATCGTTTTTCTTTATCGATGCTAATAGTTAGCTAGCGTTCCGCCCAACGTTCGGTTCCTCATTGATGACATTCATGAGCAATGGGACTTTTCTAAGCCCTTCGATTATATACATAGCAGGATGATGAATTTCAGTATCCCCAATTGGCCAGAGTACTTGAACAAGATCTACCAGTAAGTTTAACCAGTACCTCCTAGTATTCGCTATAGTCTAACAACCTCAGAAACCTCGCTCCTGGGGGCTATGTCGAGATCCAAGAGATCGACGTGATGATGAAGTCTGACGACGGCACGCTTGGCGACGACAGTGCAATCATGAAGTGGAGTAATCTATTGAACGAGGCCTCCGTCAAGCTGCAACAAGCTTACAAAAAGATTGACGAGTTCAAAGACATGATGGCCGAAGCAGGGTTTACCGAAATTGTCGACATGCGTTTCAAATGGCCGACAAACCACTGGCCAAAGGATAAGAAGTACAAAGAGCTTGGGGTATGGAACAACCAAAATATTGCCATCGCTCTGGATTCATTGACTATAGCACCATTTACGAGAGCCCATGGTTGGTCTGTTGAAGAGGTCCATATTTTTCTGTCAAGTGTGAGAAAAGATCTTAACAACCCAAAGATACATGGGTATTGGCCAATGTAAGTACATATGGTTATCCACTAGTTATGTCAACTAATCAGCCGATAGCTGCTCCGTTTATGGAAGAAAGCCTTGAGGATGAGGGGGTATCCCATCATGTTATTAGCAATAGGGTTAGGAAACATCAAGGAGGACTAGACAAACCTTGTTTCATAACGGTGGACAGCGAGCTAGTAATTCCCACCTTGCTAGCTTTATTACTCTGCTAATATATAGTCCTGAGGCTACATTATATAGGCTTAAAAGATGTGTTCAATAGCTTGGATTTATTGGTACACTAATTTATATCTATTCTACTAGTAAATTCTATTGTAATCGCGGACTCGCTGTTGTGATCAGAGTCCCACTTAGCAATGGTCTAATCAACAATGTCAAGATCCATCAGGCTGTAACAACAGAATCACCTCCCTTCTCCGGACCCTATGCCACGTCAGATTATGTCGCTTGAAACATAAAGGTCATGTGGTCAACGATCAACGCTCGGGCCTCCTTTAAGTATACAATTGGTAGGATACCCCTGCAAACTTGCAGGTAGCCACCTCAGCTTAACAGAGCTAATACGCCATACGGCTAGCAAAGTATATAGCTATGTTCTCATTGCTGCTAATTTAGGTATAACAAATCCAGTATCGCGGGCTATCAAATATTCCAAATATGACCCTAGATTGGATTTGTTTGATTTGAGGGCAGCGCTGATCGACAAAGAGGTCCTTTGAAAACATTGGTGCGATTCAGCACGACCACGCCTGCCACCTGCACTACCACGTGCTGCGGAACATCCTGGGACCTTTGGCGTAATCACCCTCCCTACCACGGTCGACTCAGGCCACACGCACGCACGCTCCTTGCTATGGCTAGCTCCAGCCGCCGCCTCGAAGTGGGCGAAGCATCCGATATAAAGAACTCCTGTCTCGCTTGACTGGAGACGAGGAGTCATCGTCTTACATTCGCATATCTGTTTGTTATACTCACCATTGGACTCGTGATCTCTGAAAATGTCTTGCTTCCCGTATCCGCGAGATACGGATGTGAAAGCAATTCGAGTACCTCTGATAGCGCGAATTCAATACTCAATAACGGGACAAACTGATTTCTCAGACTTCTTCAAGAGGGCGCTTGATGCAAGCCATTCGCTGGCTTCAGCCATTCAATCATGGCTGTTCTTGGGTCTAGCATCTGAAGCGCTAGGTCGAAACATCAGATATGAGGAATTCGCAGGCGCTGACCTTGATGGACCCCATCCTTCTATTGATCTTCGCATTCCGGAATGGTACTGGCGGGAGCTTAAAGCTCGATGGGATGAGCTAGACGACAGCCTCACTGCTGCGGAATTCGAAGCCAAGAGGACTCAACTAAAAAAGATCTACGAGAGCGCACAGATAGTCGTCATCTACATAGATCTTCTGGCGAATAGTCTGGACGACAATAAGCTTACAGAAATTCTCCTCTCAATACACATGCTGTTATATCTTGTGGCGTATGTGCTCGATTCTAATACGCTCAAGGTCACCCAGACGACCACAAGCTCAGCATCAACAAAGCTACTCAAGCGCAGAATGGTCAAGAATGGGTGGTGCGAAAAGAGGCTGAACTTCTTGGATGCATCTCTGATGTTTTACCCAGCATTTTACTTCCTATCGTCACTCAAGCCACCTCGCATCAATGCGGAAGATCACTCGAGCTGCAGTAGTGACAGATGTCTCGCTACTAGCAAGTTGTCTAAGCCTCTCCACCGTACTGACGGATGTCTTTGTGAAGATGTCGTCGTCCCGGTCGACAGGGTGTATACCATCGTGGCTTCCGGAGGGATTCCTTTGGTCAGGATCACACGGTCACCGCTTGGCAAGAATGAGCTCGAGGTGGTTCCATATACGCCATCCAAGCGATGGCGCTTGTAGTATAGCGCCGTGCCGCGTGCTAGAGTCGCGATGATCCGAGAACTGAGCCTGGGCCTTCTGATCAACACCAATGTTCCCTTTTATTTCTTTAGCGATACGTTCTGTCAGCAGCTCACCTGGCAACTTGACCCTTAACTATCTGATTAGATATCATGGAGCCGGCAATCGGTGAGCCGCTTGTTGGATGACATGTACAAAATCAAGCAGGAGCTCTCGGATGCCCTTAGTAAAAATCATCTGGGATTCCACCTGTGGATATCACCGAATCGACACGCTGTCATGGCAGTCACGGCTCGTTTTCTTTACCGCCAGGGGAAGCACCAGTCGCGCCTACTGGCACTCCGACGCCAGCTCGGGTGTCATAGCAGAGAGAATCTCGCTGTGACACTTGGGCAAGTTGTGCGTGAGTGGAAGATAGAGGATCGAGTTGGAACAGTGATCTCAGATAAAGCATCTTCTAACGACACCTGTCTTCCAAACTTCTACGGAGATCTCAATGCAGAAATAAGCCTGGTGGACATCCGCGCTAGACGTATGTGTTACTATAGACATATCTTAAACCTGGTTGATCGCGCCTTCCTATACGGCGAAGACTTTAAGACTTTCGAGGCCATATCTCAGGTCTTTAACTTCCTTGGTCGCTATGAGGATAATTTATAACACTAGAGAAAGAAAGGCCCGGTAGGAAAGCTCCATAATGTTATTAAGTTTATTAGGTCATCTCCTCAGAGGAGCGAGCTCTTTAAGATGATCTTACGCGAGAATGACGAAGTATAAGAATACCTCTTGGCGGACGAGTCGATGGCGGAGCTAGAGGTCGTTATGAACAACGACACGAGATGGAACTCCACTTATCTCAGATTTCTCGAGCGCTCGTTAAGCAGGGAGACATTGGGGCGTTCTTGGTTCATCTAGAAGTGGAGAAATGGCTGCCGGAGGCCGATATGTTAAAGGGGGATGACTGGAGACTATTAGCAGGAATTAAATATATCCTTGAGCCATTCTATCTGCAAACTATAAGAACGCAGGGCTGGGGTAGTAAGGGAGGCAATGGACGGCTTTGGGAGGTGATGACAGGTATGGAGTACTTACTGGAACACCTAGAGGATCGGAAGTTATTCCATTATATTGTCCCAGAAGTGATGGAAATGTGTATCAGGACCCAATACCAAAGGGCACGGACCATTGCATCGTTTATTAGTACAGTGCTTGATACGGGGGGTGTTGGTAAAGTAGGAATCCAGGGTCGGCACGGATGAAAAGCAGACCACCCGGCGGGATTCCGATGGTAGTTTGTATAGTAGTAGGGCTTAAGTTGAAAATATTGTATTACACAAAATGACTAGGTGCCACCAGCTAATCTCTGCGTCTCATAATTCGAAGTCAATGTCATGTTAAATTCTGCATATCATAGAGTAAATCATGTTTACTTCTGACAAAAGCCACCAGCGTGATTATATCCCATTAAACAATTGACTACTAATAAACTGTGCTAGCCCTGCTGTACCTTCCAACAATGTATACCCCTCTCAGCGAAATGATAAATAAAGCTAGGCCAATAATCTCCAAGACTATAACAACCAGACCAGCAATAAACGTGTAAGACTATAATAGTAGTTATTATTAATTAGTAAATACACAAGAGTCAGAGGAATATCTTACTATTTCTGTGCATAGACTTGCCCAGGAGATATAGCTCTGCTGGGCCCTGTTTTGGCATGACCAAGACCATAAGTCCCAGTGGCTATTTCTAAGTACTTCTTTATCAATAATCAAGTAAACAGTTGCAGCAACCCAGCCTGCAGTTATAATACCAGAGCTTGCCAGCACGGCGCCGGTATGTACCCAGCCATCGCGTAATGATTGGGGCTATTCTAATGTTAGAATATTGTCAATAGGCTTTAAGTAGTCTTTTCATAAACTTACAAAACTAAGATGAGTTGCTATAGCTACCATTTGGATAAAGGATGCAAATGCTGCAATTACTAGCATTAACCAAGTCGAGAGCATTTCGACCGAAGCCCATTGAGTTCTCGTCCAGCCGTCCTCGTTTCTGTCAACAGAGGTATATGTTGTCTCCCAAATATTAACTCCATGAATAAGTAAACTCAGAATGCTAAGATCGAGTAAAAGGGTGAAGATGCGCAGGCAGAGTCTGACGGCATCAAAAGTCTCCCGACGCTTATTCCGCGCATGGCGCCTCCTGAGGAGAACTTGTTGATCGGAAACCGGACGAAAAGCCTTCGCAGCATAGCCATCGTCGACTTCGTCATGAGGGTCGAGCCGGTACGAGTATGACTCGTAGCCAGAGGGTACACTAAGGTCCATGATGATTAAATATTAGGTTTCTGATTTTAGCATGCTTGGCTTTGGGCTCTTCAAGTGGATTTATGTGCGCGGGACTGTCATCTTCTTATGCCATGATATGATCAGGTGGATTCGACATCAATGATAATTTTGCGAATTTTCGTATGGTGGTATCCCGATCATGTCAGCCGCAATTCGGCAACACCGCTCCTTTGGTATTGGTCCCTTGGATGGCCAATTATTTTACATCTAGATAATTTAAAGTAAGCTTACTATCAGCCCTAATCATAAGCTTTATCTTTTACTTACAGTATGCTTACTGCATTTTGGTGCATGTCAGCCAATCTAGTCCATTTGGGGTAGCCGAAGTTGCAGAATGGGGTCACTCAGCCAGACTTAAGCGAGGTAGCTCCCAGCAAGGGAAGTCACAGCCCGCTGGAGAAAATTCGCTTATTACAGAACCTAATAATCTGTCAGCCTTGAGGAACAGTTTGATTGGTTAATATCCTCTTGTAGTGGGCGTGGCTGTGTCGCTCACATCTGACAACCGGGAACCAACAGTCGAGATAAGATACAGTACATCCGGTATCACCTGACTTACACTCTTCGAAGTTCATTGCATCTCCATGTCCATTCTAGCTCTCTCAGTCTTTCCTAAATATGACCGTACGACAACATTTTGTTGGATTTAATCCAGCAATTTCTTCCAGATTTACTGTCATTTGCTTTGTCCCACAAGATTAAGTCGATAAGAGCCTACTCAAGCTTGCTTAATCAATGCTTTAAGCGGGGTAAGTGGGATCGGAAAAACCAATAAACTTATGGCTATGGCACCAAGTCAAGATGCTCCCTGTTTAGCATCTATCAGCAATACAAGGAAGACACCGACTCGGTTGCTTCTTGGCTTGCTTCGACAGCAAAGGCCTGCGGATACCTTTCAGATTTACTCACAGCTACCGGCATCCAGACAAAGGGAAGAGGCCGCTTAAAAGGAAAGGCTAGAAGGGATGCTAAGGAACAGAAAACCTACATCCCAACTCCGCACAATATTCAGAAGTACGTCATTGCTGTCAAGGACTTTATCCCTCTGGCTAAATTCTTCCTCGCTTCGAAACCACTCATCCCAATTCCCCCTTCCTTCGTTGAAACTCTCGACCAAGTCTTATACGTGCAGGCCAGGTTTGGCGCTCAAATGATCGACCATAGGATGAAACCAAGCACCCAATCGGATGCCACTCATTCCTTCTTCGTCGGGATTCTGGAAAAGGCTAGAGATGTCCTCAGGCCTCATATGCCTCCTAGAACTAAATCTTGTACTCCTTTAAGGACTTAGGTAATCGTTTCAGCGGTCTCAAAATTTACATATCCTCCCCAGAGTTGCTAGATTTCACTGATATCGAGCGTCCCAAGAACGCACAGGGAGATGACACCATATACGAGGCCGAACCTGAGACATCGCTTGAAGATGCGCTAGTACCGTTCACAATCATGATGAACGATCTTAACCAGATTAGGTCCTACATCGAATGGATTTGGTTTAATTACCGAGATGGATATTTTGATCTCGCCAACGCTGCTGTTTCCACAAATACTGGGATCAATCTGGCACGCAATCTTATTGACCAAGTCCTCCCAATTATAAAGGATCACGGTAGTGCCTGCACTATTTTGGAGAAGTTCTCTTTTGTCTGTGCCAGGCGGGATGGGTTTTCAGAGCAGGATATTGTTGCATGGGGCCCAGCTGGTGAAAATGAAGATATTTATGAGGTTGCAGACAAAACCTACCTAAATGCCAGTCTATTGCTTGGTGGTTTGGCTCGGGTTTTGCCTCTAAACCATTTGCCGATCTACAAAGAAGGCATGTTTGGAATCTAACATCCCCAGAGTGATCGATCGTCCAGGAAAGGCCGAGCCAAGTTCAAAGAGGATCAGATAATCCTATCAGAATTCTTAACCGAGGCCGTCACGCTCGCTTGGCTCGTTCCTAACTCCCCAGTTGAAGACGAGTTCATTCGAGGAATCCGGGAGTTGGATACGACTGGAATAATACCGTTTCACCTTGTCTACGCCACCCAAATCCTCTTAGACATTCATCATATTATCAGAGATCGCGCATCCAGTGCACTAGATAGTCTACTCAAGCACACCACTACGATGGACAGTGAGCTCAGCTGCCATATCGACTTTCACAGAAATTTGAAAATTGAAAACTGGCCTGCTTCGAATGAAGGCGCTCTCTGCGAGTTTAAACAGTCCTTACAATAGTTTGCTCAGGATCTAGTCTGTCTTTCCGAGCAAAGAGTCTCACAGGGGGCTAGGAGCCTAGCCATGGAATCTGAAAGACACCATATACTTGTTCACTCCCCTATACTCTGTGGGCTTGTGTTATACTACTTTCGAGCTAAGGTGTGTAATTTTGGTATTGCCATCACGAACGCCTGGGGCTCGATTACGTACTCTGCACATCTCTATGATGCCCTTCGAAATGAAGGCCTTCTCAACGAACATTGGACAGGTATGGACGCTATCTAAACCTTGCTTGGTGAATCTAACTTATTAGTTGGTGAACAACCGGAAAATAAGCACGGCTACCTGAATCGCTTTCTTCTGCAAATAGGCTACTCTGCTTCAGCTTTCGCTGTTAGTAGAGACCAGCTACTACAGAGGCCTGGGAGACACCACGACCTGGCCTCTCGTGCCGGGCCGTGTAGCATTAAGGATGGTGCTCCAGTATTATGCATGGTTGTTGAAATATATGTACGAGCGTCAGGTCAGATTGACCTGTCGCCCTAGCATGTTGACCAGATCACCTCGCGCAGTAGGTTTTAGGAAAAAGGATCAGAGAAAAACAGCACTCTTATGCTTACTCTGATCGATGATCGAGACGAGCTGAGGAAGAAGCGCCAACCGAAACAGCGTAAGAAGATGACTGGAGAAGTCCAGTGGCCTCCAGGAGAGCTTTTGAGATCTCTGGTTTTGGCCTTGGGAGTGGAAACCTTGGAGTTTTCATTGCCATACTTGCTCAAGCATTAGTGGTGTTGGAAGTTCCTGCGTCATGTCAAAGAGGCCTGTGATTTCACCTTAAAGCAGCTGTAAACTACGGCTTACATCGAGAAAGAGAGCGAACTACCGTTTGTTATAAGTTACATATTCATGGCTGCAAGCGATGAACAAGAGGGAAAGGAGGATTTCCTGATGCTGGCTGCTGCCGAGGTGTTCAATGTTATGATTGAAGGTGGGGCAGGGGAATTTGTGCTTGGAGTCGTGTGCAACACTTATGGGTTTAAAGTTGAGTTTGCTACTGAGGATGACTCTGACGCCAGTGGCAGTGCAGATGAGGCAGAAACGTAGAGGTCGCGAGCCAAAGGCAAACATGAAGCAAGAGGGACGAGCCACTCACAATGGATGAGTTTGCGGGGGAAGCGGACGTCATTTCGGCATCATAAGATGAATCTCCCGTGGTCATCCACGTGATCTCGATGGGAAGGCCAAATAATACGCTCTCCAGAAACTCGATCAAATCTAATATCCTTCATTTCCTACGCATCTTCTGGTCTCAATCGACTCGGTTCAGAAACTCCCAATTTCAATATGGCCGTCCCTCGAGCCTCTGTTAACTTACTCCGCTGCGGTATCCGTCCCCTTACCAGAGCGGCCCCAGTTGTCCAGGTCCGACAGCAATCCGGCGTCAGCAGCGATGGCGACATCGGCGGCCCCGGAAGTCAGCAGACCCCACCACCCAACCCTGGCTTCCGTGAGACCCTCAACCGAAACTGGTACAGTTTAATCCGCCTCAGATGTGACATCTGCTAACAAGAGATGCAGGCGTTCGATTGCAGGCGCAGGGCTGCTCGTTGTCGCCGCTCTGTCGTACATGTCCTCCTCGAAGGGAAGAAGAGCTCCATCGGATGCGGACTTGAAGGCTGCTTCGTCTACGGAGATTGGCATGTCGCCATCGCAGAAGAAGGTCTAGCACTAAGGGCGTCTAAGCAACTGCAGGTACATGGTAAGTTGAGTGGAAGGAAAGGGTGAGATGGAATGGAAGATTGTATGCCTGAATATTAGCATTTTACGGGCGCGAGTCGACTGCAGAATGGTTTATCTCCTCAGTGCCTAAGGACCTCCAAGATGGTCATGACAAGGGGAGCAGGTCAATTGGAGCTCTCGTTAGTGACAATACCTTATCCTATGCTATCTTTCGCTTGCTGAGTAAGTAGAGTCATAATAAGACCTTCATAGTCACGCTCACTCAGACCCCCGATAGGAGGCGCTAAGTGTTAGGTGCATGACACTGGGGGGTACAGCTTGAAGGTCATTGGGCACTGAGGAAATAAGTGGCCAGCCCCCGTTCAAAATTCAAGTCTATCCCCTATAACGTGGGGTAAATTAAATCAATTTCTCTTAAGAGTTCAAGGGGCCACCGTATCCCTATCATCACAGTAGTACGAGCCGGGTACCAAAAGCTTCAATTTCCAACCTTTCACAGCTAAATTCAAACACATAGACAGGAACATCAACCATGTCTATCGTGGCCGTTATTCAAGGTGCCTAGCCTGTCAGGACTTTCGACAAGGGTAGATGAGGTCAAAAGGCCCAAATAGGCATGCTTTCGCTGAAATCAGCGGCAACGCAAGACGAAGGCATCATAGCCGGCAAACTAGGTACGGGTGTAAGATATGTGATGTGCCGATTTGTAATAATGAGACCTGTTGGTACTTCTACCACCGCATAATTTAGGTGTTATACGGGGTACCTTCTGTTCAGTGAACTTTAATTGGCTACGACTCTCATAGTGACCTGGTTGGACTGTAGTACTAGGCCTTAGGCTAAGGCTCTGCTCAACAGTCAGTCTCTCTACCTCGACTATCCCCGATTGAGCTTCCTGTTAAGTATCATGTGAGTATGCAGGGTATTACTGAGCTGCCCCTGTATGCAGGTGGTAAGAGCCCTGTCTCGCCTGGCGAGGGATCTCATGGTTAGTCTTCAGGTCCTCCCAGTCAATAGGCAAATGGATATAATTAATAATTCTTGGTCAACTATAAATAACCGGCAGGAACTTTCAATTATGGTTTCTTTATGTAGTCTACGATGCCAATTATTTATTTAGGTGCGTAAATAATCCACCAACGCATAATTCAACAACTCTCTTGCTTCGTCACACATTTGCCCGCGCTGAAACTCCCATCCTCCTTCTTTAAAGAGGTCCTCTCCCAGGCCAATAGCAAATTGATCACTGCCCTTGGCCAGGCCATCATACATTTGCTCAATAAATTCAGCTAATGGCATGCCTATTTCCATTCCATGAACTAGATCTGGCTGATGCCTTTCGTCATGCAGCTCGGTTTGCACTGCGGGAGGAAACACTTCAACAATATGTAAAGGACACCCACTGTCGCGGAGCTGGTAGCGAATGTCCAAAACAAAGGCGTGAAGGGCAGCTTTAGAAGCATTATAGTTTGGTGTCCGGCTCATAGCTGGGATCAGTCCCAAAGTAGCATTGATATATACAATACTTCCATGCAGCTCTTTCTGGAGATGGGGCAAGAATGCTGCTGTTAGGTGAACAACAGAAGTATAGTTTGTCGTAAGTTCATCCCCGAGAAGTGAAAGATTTACTGTCTCTGGCTCAGAGAAGTTGAAACCGCGCTGGACACCTGAGCTGATGATAATACAGTCGAGATCTGGATTAGATTGGATGACAGTATTTGCAAACGCTTTGATGCCATTCAGGTTCGTTACGTCGAAGTTAAAGGCACTTGAAACGTCTGAGCCGTGTGTTTTCACGAAAGACTCTAGACGAGTTCGCCGGCGACCTACGACCACAACCTTGGTGCCGGTCGCGACAAGCTTAGACGCAAGAGCCGCTCCGATACCTGAGGTAGCACCGATAACAAGTGCTTTCTTGTAGAGAGGAGCCATGGTATTGTAGTTTGAAGATGTTTCCGGAGCTTATACAGTAATCTCAAAAGACACTGGGCTGGTGATGTAGATTTTGAATAATGGATTAGCCCCCAATCGAAAATGGAACATTGTTCTTATCTTTTTATTAGAGACCTAAAGATTCAGCTTGTGACCAACTACATCAGCTCGTTATGATCAAGAATTTGAAAGTACTGACGACTTTCTACTCTCTATAGGCGTGTGACTAGCAATTGGCGATTACCTAAACCCTTTGTCCTAGCGTACCGTGGGTCCGAGAGTATAATAAGCGATATGGGAAGTTAAAAGGGCTTATGCCAAAGACAAATAAATCTCGCGTGGGAACTTTTAACAGGTAAAGTGTAAATAGACGTAAGTGGTGGTGGATCAGGCGCGTCTGGTGGGTGTAACAACATATCAGTATGCTGCTGCTAATTATGCAAGGTAACCTGAGAGTAGCTGAAGCCTAGGTCTACAATTTTAGTGGAGTAACAACACCTGGACCAATGGTGTGACAGATACTGGGAATAGCCTTTGAAGCCATCTTATCATTTTGACGTGTCCCAGATGCGGGGAATAGCACTCCAAAGCCACCTCATCACTTGGGCGTGGTCTAGCTATCACTTTCAGCATTAGCAACGTCTCTCAAGGCTGCTTGAGGTTTTCCCAAATGACACGGGGAGTGACGGACCAAGATCTGTTACTTACCAATACTCTGGAAAAGAAGTCTCTGTCTCCCTGATGCCCCGGCTGTGTATTACCCGCCCCTCCAGTCCCTCACCCCAATCATACGCTATCACATGGTTCAATACTTTCAATCTCTAATATAATACTAAAGAACCTAAGTATCTAGCGATGGAGGGATGTAAAATACAGAGCCGGGGCATCAAAGAGATACGAAGTTGCTGGTACGCGTCATTGTTGAATAGTGTAAACCTAAAGTCGTAACATCTAAGGGAACAACACGATTATCAGAGCAACGCCGCACGAGCTGCCGTTTTTATTCAGTAAAGTAACTTTGGCTTGTGTTTTCATAACAGGGTCAGGGAATGGAACTCTGATGAGTGAAAGCTATAATCAAATCGCTGGTGCATACTAGATACAGAGCACATGGGTATTGACACAGACCCTTGACTCTTATTAAAAGGCTTCACGCACACTCGCTGAGACTAAGTTCTCCAACGCTGTGAATATTAAACAATTTTTACCGATCCCAAATACGCATCACCACCATCCAACTGCAGAGGCCTAGATGTTCGGACGTCGACGAAGGCCTATTCTTGGTGCCGCTGTTGTTTACGGTGCATCACGAGCAGCCGCCAAGCATGAGGTACGAAACCAGGAGCTTATGGCCAGTGAGCGTGATCGCGAGATAGAACGTGAGGTCGATCTTCGGAGGAGAGAAGAAGAAGAGCAAGAACTACGAACACAGCGTGCCGTCGATGAAGCCATGAAAAAGGCTGCATTACAGGAACAAGCTGCTCAGCAGAGCGCCGCTGCGATGATACCGCCTCAGCCGCGATATGATGAGGCCTATCCCATGATGCAAGCCCAAACCCGGGATTTGGGAGTGTTCAACCCAGTCAACGACGGAAACACCACCATCCAACCAGCACCCGCATACCAGGTGGGACCTCAGAGGGGTCCAGTCCAGGGTCCAGTGCCAGGATCCCGAATCCACTACTGTACCCAGTGCGGCTTCGGTTGTCAAGATACAGATAAATTCTGTCGTCAATGCGGTGCAAAGCAAGTGGCTGGAGAAATTGTGGTAGGGTGAACTGACTACATTAGTTGTCACTCGTCTAGTGGAAGGAGGTGTCGATTCAAATAACATTCGAAGGGCGGTGTTAAAAGGTCGTGATGCCAAGATGTTTTTCTCATGTGTAGGCTAAATACGAGCTAAACTTAATTTCAGCTACTTCTTTATAATATTAAATAATTAGCTTTATATTTAGGCTATAATATTTATAAGGTTTATAATTTATTATAAGAAAAGATATATAATCTTATTATAATAAGTAAAAGGTTTATAAGATATATATATTATAAGTGTTTTTTTTATATATTATAATATTATAATATAACTTTATTCTTCTTTTTATAAATTATTATAGCTTATATAAAAATATACTTAGATATTTTATTTTATAAATATATACTTATAAGACTTATAATATAAAAGATATAAGTTATTTATATAATTAAAATATTTTAATATATTAATTTAAGAATTAATATTAATATTTATAATACTATAAGTAAAAATAAATTAAATAATATCTTTTTTTAAATATATAATAATAATAGTTTTTTTAATATATTTTTAAAATAAACTTATATTTTTTTATTTATAATAACTAATATAAATATATTTAGTATATAATAATTAAAATAAGCCTTTTATTAAATAGTATATATAAGTTAATCTTATTATTTAATATATATTAAATTTAAGAACTTAATAATTAATTATAATTAAAATATCCTAAGTATTATTTAACTATATTAATCCTTAACTTATATTTCTCCTATTATATTATCTTATAACCTAATCTAATCTATTATTAACCTACTAAGCTAGCCTTAATCTACTAATATTTATAGTTTTTCCCTAAATATTAAAACCTTTTTTTCTTAATTTGCCTTTTTCCTTCTCTTTTCCTTTTTACTTCCCCTTCTTTACCTTATAATAACCCTTAATTCTTATAATAGAATATTTATACTATTAATTTAATTAACTTAATTATATATTTTAACTTTATAAACTATGCCTAATATAGGCTATTATTACTACCTAATATAATACTATTAATAAAGGCCTATTATTACCTTAATATATCTTAATCTTATTCTAAGTAATTAGCTAGGTCTTTTAATACCTTTATTTAACTTATAATATATTTAATAAGAGATATATCTTTCTTAATACTAAGGAGCTATACTTAATAACTAAAGATTATGAAATTAACTTATTATATTAGTAGTAATTTATTAATATATAATAAGTACTTTCTTATAATTTTATAATATTATAAGAAGAAATATAAAATAAGAATATATTTAAACTTAAGCCTTTTAATATTTATTAGAGGATTAATTATATAATTATTAATTACTAAGATTAAATAGCTATAGCTAGGTTAATTATTATTAATAATATTTATATAATAATATATCTTATAATAAAAGTTAAGGTTCTTAGCTTATTTTAATATAGCCTTTTAGTATTAGAGCCTTAGTAGTAATTACCTTAATAGGGTAATAATAGAGAGGGTATTTAGCCTTTTAAGGATAGGGAAAATATCTTCTTTATACTTATAAATTAAGGCTATTTATTTAGTTAGATCTTAAGGTTTAAGGCAGCAGCTATATAACTTACTAAGACTTAATATTAAGGTTATTATATTTTTTAATATAATATATAATGCCTTATATTATATTATATTAAAAATAAATACCTTATTTTATTATCTTACTTTAATACCTTTGGCTTTACTTTATGTATTATTAGATAGGTATTTTAACTTTAAAATAATTAAAATATTTATTTAAAAAAATAATTATTTTATTATAAATTTTTAATTAAAGCTTATAAACTTATAAACTTTTATAAAATTTTTATTATTTCTTATAAGTAAATTTAAGTTTATAAACTACCTTAGATTTAAGTTATTAATTATTTTATATTATATTAATTTTATATTTAAATTAGTTTACTAATTATTAAATAATATAATAGATATTATTAAGGAATAAATGTTACGATTCGTGCCCGTAACAGCGCTGTAAGGCTTCTATAAGGTAGCTGTAGCACACCCATGATTGCTTACATAGCGATTATGGCCCGATCTTTTGCCCTGTGGTTTAACGGCTTGTGCAACCGTTACAATAAATAGTACTTAAAGTTTATAAATATTAAAACCCTTACTTATATTAATAGGCTAAGAATATAATATATACATTTATGAAATTATTTATACTTAAGGTATTATTAAAAATAACTTTATGTTAATTAAAAACTAACTAATTACTGACTTATATAATAACCATAAAGTCCAGGGTTTAATCCAGTGTTAAGACAGAAGTTAAATTCTTTTTAAATTTCCTTTTATAACTTTTCATAAAGTCTAACTAAGGTATCCAAGAATGAGGAGAGTCTCCAACCATTTCATAGACCTGAGAGCGAGTAGGGTCTCGCATGATACTATGTCCCTCAGTTTGAAGAGAATCTCCGCTCATTTCATAAGGCACAGGGTGCGGTATAAGCTGTGATACGCCTTGAGATGCCGAACTCTGAGCACCCGGTGAGCCTGACTCATTCATCCAACCTTGCGGAGAGGCGGAATCGCCAGCAAAGATTGGCACAGTTATCATGGAACTTCTCCATTCGGACTGCACCGAGGAACCTGGGCCTGGGCCTGAGTCCGGCTTTCTGGCGTTCATGTATAGCGGTGTACCATTTAATTGTGTTTGTTCCATTGGAGTAACCTGTTGAGCGCCATCCTGCTTTGACCGTCGAACAAACCAGAAGATTGCCAAAGATACAACCGACAGTGCTACAAAGCCGCCAATTGCAGCGCCGATAATGGCTCCGATATTATTACGGCTGGACGGCGGCGGAGACGGAGACGGAGGCGTAGTGGAGGATGAAGAAGGGGCGGCGTTGGAGGAGGATGCTGATGTGGTAGAAGAAACAAATTCTGTCGATACGACTTGTGAGTCGGCGTTGTTATAGGTTGCAGTAACCAAGCCTGCATCTTTCTGATCCTTGTAGGTAAAGAATACGCTCGAAGCTCGGGTCTCGGGTGTCGACACACATCTATAGTCTTGGACTCCGTCTGGGTAGGCATAGGTTCGGCAATAAGCAGCTGATTCTTCAGTGCTGGAGTGCAGTTCCGGTTAGGGTTAAATTCCATAAGGTTGGAGAGATATTCATCTTACCAGCGAAGAGTGTGGCCACTAACGCAAAGGTCGTTGCAAATATCAGTGTTCAATGCCTCCGCCCGCTCATAACACATAAGGTGATACTCCCATTTCTTATAGTCGTTCAGAGGGCCGCATATCAATGCTATTGACTTCATCCACATGCAGGGTTGACGGTTTTCGCAGGTGATTGGGACACCTGCACGCCCTGACAACCAACCACATGTTTCATCTGGGGCTATCGTGACTGTGAGCGCGTCGTCTGATGAACTGGTTATTTGGCGTTTTACTACATGCAGCGGCAGAGGAATCTCCATCATGTTGGTTTGGGCAGGTAGTCGGTCATGACTCGGGGCATATAACCGTTGTGTAGGCTCGGAAATGACTCGTCCCTGCGAGCCCTGAATAGTCCACAAGAGGAGGACTATGGCAGAACTTTGTAGCCTGCTCATGGTGACGGTGTGGATGAACAGATCTTGGAAACAAACCGTCGGTAGTCCCTGGTTCACAAAAACATAAAAGTTATACTCAAGATGAGGCTTTGCACGTCCTCGGTCTCTGAGCTCAACAATGGCGGCATATACGCATTTACAGACGGGACCGAGGATTGAGGCCCCCTTACGAAAGCTGGATGCATAACGCAACCAGACCGTTCCCAAGCAGCTGATAAGGTGGAGGTCTGGAACTGGTGTGGCTTTGGCGACCGAACCGCATAGCCACTGAAGTAGCTCAGTCTAAGAACGGCTTATGATATGAAGGTGGGGTGAGGTGTCATGATGATGCAGCTACTCAGCCAAATTTTGGCTGGGGCTATGAAGATAAGTAGTGTTCAATGAGAAGTGCAGCAAATGAAGAAGGCTTTTAGAATGGATGTCGGAGGGTTTTAGAAAACAAGGCAGGAGAAAAAAGAGTATTCTATTTCTAGCATGAATGTGAAAGCGGGTACAGTTTGAATTGCAATGTCAGACGAGCCTCCCGTTAACAACAATGCCCTGGGTTCCTCAATTCTTGCATTTATAGTTATCAGCCAGCAGCTCGTTGTTGCTAGATTCGATCGCTCGGTATTTCCAAACTAAATTCTTTGGTGAACCATAAGCTATTTATCACTCTACTGCAAAAGGCCTCAAACATTTCTCTAACTGGGGTATGCAACGCTTCGCCACATATTGAGTTTAGGTGATATTTTCTGGCAGCATAAGCAGGCCAATTGCATTCAAGCGTGGGCCGCCTTCAATAGAAGTGGGTGTGAAGGATGACCCGCATTAACTGATAAGGTTAACAATAAGTGACGATTTGAGTATTGTCGTTCAATTGTGAGTGAACCCAAACCGTCCGTCTAGACACGGCGATCTAGACGTCAGCCTGGAAGCTGGTTCCCAGAATGTAAAGATACAGCATCCAGTAGCGTACGCCACGACGTGAACGATCTAGCCAATGATCACCCTATGCAACATCATAACGAGGGCGACAAGCCGGAACCTGCCATGGCTTCACGCAAGGTAAGGCGCACCATACGCTTCAGGTTTCAGCCATGATCAACTCTAAATAACACAATGAAAACACACTTCAGGCAGTACTGTACACCAGCCAAGCCTCTAGACCATTTTCCGACAACTCAAACCTTTCATCGGCCAAATCGGATTCGACGGATATACTACACGTCAGATTTGATACAACAAATGCATTGCGCCACTACTGCTGTCATCTTTCAGCCCCAGGCCTTAAATTACTGGAATTGCCGTCTAGAAGCGGAGGTATACAAAACATGTAAAGAAATGCCAAGAATAGACGCAATATGGTCTAGACGGATGTTTTATTATAAATTATAAGGATATTACTTTCTCGAGGCATTCTGAGTTATTCAACCAGTCTACATGGGTTTCTGTGTGAAGCAAAATACTCTACTATGTATCTGATAAAAGGTCTAATCGTCGGACTACTGGTTGAACAAGCGCAAGCCCAGATAACCCCAACTCCGGTATCTGAACCTGTTCCAACAGTTTTACCCTCTGATGTTGTATCATCAGAAACTATTCCTCCAGCTTTACTATCAGAATCTGTACAATCCAAGTCTCCAGTCACTGAGCCTACTCCAACAATTTTGCCATCTGACACTATACAACCCGAATCTCCAACTAAGCCTGCTTCAACAGAACCTACTTCAACAGAACCTACTTCAACAGAACCTACTCCAATACTTTCACCATCTGACACTACAATACCTAAATTACCATCAACAGAGTCTCCAGTTGAATCTACGTCAATAGAATCTATACCCTCTAGCACTCTACCACCCGAGTCTCCAATAGGATCTACTCCAACTGGAACAACTCCAACAGAATCAGAACGTACTCCAACAACATCTACGCTACCAGGATCTATACAATCAGAATCAATACCACCCGAGTCTACATCACCAGAATCAATACCACCCGAGTCTACATCACCAGAATCAATACCACCC